TAGAATAGCGCACCGCGAGCCCTTGCGGTGCGGTTGTTGCCACCGCACATGTGTCGTAACGCGAGCCGCCGTTTGCGTGTGGGGCCCAGCCGCAGAAAATCTGAAATAGCGGGCGACATGAGCCCGCATGTGGCCCACGAAGTGCTATGTGTAGCTTCCGTGCATTTGGGTTTACGATCAAGGCAAAAGTCCCCCCATACTTTTCCCTAGAGAAAGCAAATGCTATTCTAAATCTCATATGGTGCCCGCAACACCTGCAAACGATATTCTAAAGCTCCCTAATGTCTCGGAACATTCATGGATGCTCTATGAGACACGACTCCAAGCATGTCTAAATCGCATCACCAAAGCTTATTGACCACACTCCATACGACCATGAAGCGCGTAGCCGCGTGGACAGGGCAGCAGGCGCGTGATACACCCGGCGGCGGCGTTCAGCGATGATCCGCGAAATGAGTAGCTACGATGACAAAACATCGATGCGCACTGCCCTTGGTGTCACATTCTGGAGCGCCAACGCGCGCTAGCCGCTGTTCCGAGCAATCCTTGGCCGTGGAGTAGGAGGAGGGCGGGGTGATGAGCTTGACTGTGGGCAGGGGCGGATTATCCAGCGTTCAAAGGGTTCAAATGAACCGGGCCCTTTGGTTTTAGGGGGCCCCCCAAGGGCCATAAAAAAGTGGCAGGCTTCATTGTTTTGTTCAAGAAAGTTTTACCCTCCTGCTTGATTCCCCTGATAGAAACAGATTATCTATTCAATAATCAATAATCATGCTTCAAAGAGGTTATTTGTTGCATAACGTGCATTATCTTGAAGTCAGCTCACAGTTATGCAGTATGTGGCGAAAATTGGGGGACCCCAAAACTTTGCCTTTAACAGTTGAACGCGATAGCGGTGTCCTGTTTTTAATGTGTACTTCAAACACTTAGTGCATGAACCCTTTTCGAATTTACTATGCACTCACTACGTTGCCTTAAAGGAGTAGACGCAGTAGCGTGTGCGCCTTTTGTAGTGGGTGACCGGCATTACACCATGAAGTCATTATGATAGTCGCATGTTCTGACGCCTGCTGCCAATGGGCGCTTGTACCACCCATCATTGCTGCAAAATTCAGCGTTGTATTGTGGAGCATGTACATTGGATGCATGTGTTTGTAAATCATTTAAGTTACTTCCATTGCATTGCCAAGCAGAGGAAGTTATCTGGACTTTATTCACAAGCAGACGCGTGGCCTTGTGCTTTCTTTAATACCGCCTTGCGGGTCTCATGTCAGGGTCACAGCGAGATGCAGCCATTCGAGAGCGCCATATACTGTGCAAAGCAGTCAGCATGATTGAACGAAAAGGTAATCCAAAAAAGCATATCAATGTTTCTCTACATAGTAAGAAGAAATGAATTTGTTCCTTCATGGTTAGAAAAGATAGAAGCCCTGCTTACTATGAAGGAATTTTAAGGTGAAATGTGCTTTAGCAGTGCTTGACGGCTGTAGTAATTGTTCTGTCAGGTTTCTTGTGTATTGTAATATATTTACCTCGCCATCCCATGTGTGAAGTTTAACCGAAAATAAAGAAAAAAAAAACCGTGGCCTTGTGGTAGAACATCCGCTTGCCACGCAATTGACCCGGGTTCGATCCCCCCTGTGATGAGTGTTTTTTATTTTATTTGCAATGTTCTCGATTTTTCGGTCATGCATAACATGACGATTTTTCGCTTACAACCAACAACGCCGATGCTGGAATTTCTGGGAAACGAACTTTTAGCGCTATCGCGTTAAAAACCTTTCACTCGCCAAAGACCATGCATTTTGTAGAGGGAAGGAGCTGATCCAGCGGATTGACACACAGCGCAGCCTGACAAGATTTTAGCAGCTACAGTTCAACACGCAATGCGAAGGCACATAGAGAGTGGTTCCTGTTTGAAATATCGTTCAAATGGGCTGAATGAAAATATGCGCTATGAAGCTGAGGCATATTAAACGCTCCGGAGAGGTTTAGAATAAATATGGCTTTTGTTCCTTGCAGGGAAATAAAAAAAGCGTCAAGTGTCAAGCATGACCAGATGGCAAAGCGGGAAAAAAAGGGGGTAGGGCGAGGAGCCCCTTTACTTTTTTGATCCGGGCCCTCCGCACTGTTAATCCGGCCCTGACTGTGGAGTCTGCTGCCCATGCGTAAAATGCCCGTACGTGGTTCCGAGGAGCTAGCGAGTGATGTGTGAAGTGAAGAGGCACGTTGCCACGAGTGTGCCAGCGCTTCGTCCTTTTCCGCAGTCTCGCTGTCAGTGGAGTTAGGCCTAAAGACGACTCCGATCACGCGTTGCGCTCGTAGTAATCTGATCGTGCATCTGTTTACAGCTACTAACTAAAGCGTAATTATATCCCAAGTAATCGTCGAGCCGTGAACACGTCACAAAGTAGTTATTTTTGAGAGCCATGTCCTCGCGACGCACAAGCAGCAGACGACGATCTATCGGAGCGAGCATCGGGCCAATGGCGAGGCGTGCTGAGGCAACATGGCGGCCACAGCCAATCAGGGGCCTTGAAACGACCTTCAAACATTTGCTTTTTGTGCGCTTGTTTTTAAAGGGAGGATCCAGCAGAGGCGGGAAATTTTAAACACGGAGAAATATTTTTGATAAGCCCAAGAAGCCGGCTCCCAGTCAAGCCATCACGGAGGTATAATTAAAAAAAATTGTTTTTTTTTTTTGCAATTTCCAGAAAAAAGTTTCACTGCCTATAAGGGCGAAACAAATTTTCCAAAGAATTTCTGCGTGGTTTTCAGTGTAGATATTTTGAAATCACATAGAAAAAGGGTTCCAGAAACTGAAAACTTAATTTAAAAAATAGATTTTTCGCCATTTTTCGCGATACCAAAGCTGCTAGAGGGGGCCCTCTAACACTATTGAAGCCCCCATGTTTAATTTGTGGGTTGTGGACTAAAATACAGACAGGCTAATGCAGCAAAAATGGCAGTGATATCGGCACGCAGTCTGAAGTTATTCAACTTGGAAAATTCAGAATACAAGAAAGAAATTCCGACCCTCAACTAGATTTTCGAGGGGTCACTTTACCACATTTCACTCGCCCATGACGTTGGAAGGCTGCCCCAATGAATTAAGCTGGAAGCGCCTATGTAGGGGACGCTCGCACCACATTCTTTTTTTTTTTTTTTCAAAGTAATGTTGCGCGACTGCGTGACTGACGCCTAGCTTGCCAGAACGTGAACAGGAGCTACTGTGTCAAAGCAAGGTATTTTCTGCAACATACTGAGTCACTCCCTCCTCTTATTCTGAGAAAAGAACTTGTGGAACCACCAGGACAGCGAAGTACTGTTGACCCTTTGCGCATTGTTGCAATGGTGCACTGCACCCCTTTAACAGTGCACGTGCAGAAAGAGAGCTTGCTAACTCCCAGAAGCAAGAAGAGGGACGAAAGAGAAAGAGGGGTCTTTTACATGGATATCCCACACGCGCAAGCCAAAAATCCAGTGGCGAAATGGCAGCCAGCGTCTCTATCGTGCTTTTTAGTCGCAGTGACCTATTTTTTGTTGTTGTGGCCGCGTCTCTTCCAAGGTTCGATGAAAAAGAAGAGAATAAAAATTAAGCAGCTTAGTAACCTCAGTTTTGATCCTACACTAAGATTGCTTCTAATGCTACATTTATCCAAGCATATGGCGACAACCTTGCGGCATCATTTCCTCCAGCAAAGTTTTGGCGAGTGCCACAACCTGGTGATGCGATCGGCAGTGATGTAGCGACATTATTTCGTGATTAAAATACTAAATCATTTAATAACTATGCTAAAATCGTCTCCAGCTATCGGTCTACGCAAACCATAAATAATAAAAAAAAGGTGCTTCAATAGTGTTGGCGGGCCCCTTTAAGGGCCTCAATTTTTATTGTATGGTAAAGTAATCCATGTATTGTACGGTATGATAACCTTCTATCCTTATACTGAAGGACAACTACTGCTTAATTGCGAATACATATCAATTTATCACATATGCCCTAAAGTTCCACAAATACTTTTGTGTTATATTTTAAAATTAGACTGCATTTTTGCTCAACAGAAACTGTCATTTTCAATCAAGTTAATTATCTGGCACCAAGCATAGCTTCACATGTATCAGCACCCATACATTAGTCATTTTATTTAACTAAGGCAAATTTTACCACTGCAGGTACAACACTTTTTATTGCATATAAGCTACATACCAAGCTCTGTTTCACCGCAAGAGCGAGGCAATAAATAGTAAGGCAAGTAGTAACCTTTAGCATCCGACCTGGCATGAGTCGAGAACACTGGCATAAGAAAACGCGACTGCTGCAGCAAAGAAAGTGATCTTTGCTCAGTCGTTTCAGTGCAAACCAAGGGCTGAGAACACTGAATGTACAAAGATAGGCATGAACTCTCTGCTAAACCCTACCAGGACAGGGAATGGTGTGCAACTGCACTCAGCAGCTCAATGTATGCATTTCTTGCCAGGTCATCCTTCCTGCATCCTACATGGGTCTTTTCCACAATAAAAGCCGGCCGACATATTTCTTCTCTGCTTGAGCCGCAATTGTGGGTTGCCTCTGCACGCCTTCAACTCGCATATAAAACATACGAGCAGGGCAATGGTACCCACCTTTGACTTTACACGGAATCTCACAGCAACAGTGACAGAAAAAGTGCCTGGAGTGCCCACAAAATTGGTATTGCAACAAAAGTTGAACGTATAAAGGGCCATAAGATTATTGAATATTATTCATTTACTATACACATTCACATCAATTCCCTTTGTACTACTTATCCATGCTGAATCAGGGGAAGCCACAACCAGTTACTGCTAGTTAGAATTTCAATACATTTAAGAGCCCCAACATTTATAAAAACGGAAAGTAGCCAACCAACTGACAATGCACTTTTGTGGAATAACATGAACTGTAACAAGTAAAACATTTGCCCAGAAACTATTACCTGAAAAATACAAGCATAAAGAATGATGTCAAATGTTTCACGCACCACGGTATCCTGATTTACATCACCATCCGGAGCAATCATGGTTTGGACCATAAACTTGTGCTTGTTCTTTTCTGTTGGGTCATACTCAAATGGCTGGAGCATGACTGCAAGTCCAGGGGGTAAATAAGTGTTAGGACAGCCTAATAGTCCAAAAGTAAACAACAGGCTCAATCATATTCACCTGAATACTTTGGAATGCAGATGAATGCTGCAATGCATTCTTTACGACAAGGGGACCTCTTATTAAAGTTTAACACAGGGACCTCCCAATAATAGGAGGTCCCCTGGCAGTTTCAACCGATTGCTTCCTTCAGGACCCTCTAATAATTTACAAAAATAGGCCAGTTCATCTATGCCCCATAAGAATAGAACTGAACTTTCAGAAAAGCCAAAATAACCCTGCTCATCGAATAGTGCAATAATGCGCAGAAAATTTGCATGGGTTTTTTATAAAGCATTACAATTGAAGAAACATTTATACCGTTCCGGAAACTGAATGTTGTTCTACAGTAGTTGCTCTGATCCAAGCTAAACAGGAGGCCAGCAGTGCAAGGCTTATTTAATTCGCAAATTGAAGCAAGGGATATTTCAAATGGCAAGCCTGCAAGGAGAAAGATCACGAAAGTGAAAATGAACATTTAGGCTATCGGTAGCATGAACTACAAAGAAAATATGTTTGTGTTCCAGGAAGAGAAAGTTTCAAGCTGAAGGAATATCTGTCATGCTTTGAAGTCCAAACCCAGGACCGATGTCTTTCCGGAGTGGTTGCTCAAACACCTGAGCTAATCAGGAAACCTAGCTAGCTGATGGCTGAATTATTTGAATATAGCAAGCGAGCTTCTTCAGAACGGATGTGCCACATTCAGTATCCTTTGCCTCAAGATGCAATTCAGACTGACATTAATCGTAATAGGCAAACTCTGTTGCAGTAAAATATGGTAAATTCAGATTTCATGAGACTGAAAAAAGAAAGGCCTGCATCAATCAAATGCAGAATTATCAAAAGTGCCTAGAAAGCTATAAAAAAGTGTCCATTACATCAATGCATTTTCTTCTTATCGAATACTCAATTTCAGTACATATTATGCACAAGAGCAGTGTAAAACCCACAACTTTATCATTCACAACCACATTCAGGATATGACCGCAGTTCAGGACTCCGGTGCCTTTCACCAAAACGTGCTCTAAACCTTCAGCTGCGACCAACGCACTTGATATTTTATTATTATTTTTTTTGCTGGAAAACTCGCTAGCAACTCATCATTTGTACAGATATCTTAAACTTTGAAACTTTTTTCACTAATACTCTTCTATAACACATTGCCACAAATAGGGCAAATGTTAATTTCGCTCCTTTATGAACTATTTTACACCTTGCAGGCTCCCTCAGACCCCGACAGATGTATATACATTAGAGCAAAAGCTGCTGAAACCAGCAAGAAGCCAAGCAATGACAGTATTATAGAGCGCCCTAACATCACGCTGCTTGATTTTAAAAAAGTAAAGAAAAAAAGAGAGGAACATTGTTATGCAAAACACACTTGGAGCATTTTGTTCCCAATATACTGAATTAGCAGCCACTGCTATTTTTTTGTGTGTGAGATTTAGTTATTTTATAATTATTTTATTATTTTGTTATAGAATAAAAAACCTGTGTTTTCGTTGCAACTACAATAGGCAATTGCAAATTAAAAACAAGTGACATATAAATTAAAAGAAGGATGCAGAAGACTCAACACTGGCTGTACTTTTAAGAATGGGTAATCATTTTATTGTGCACTAAGCACAATCATTATGAACATGGCCATGCCGTGGTCACACAAATGACGAATTTTAAATCGAACAAATTTAACTTCTGCTTCCTACGTTGAGTGCACCCAACATTTATTTGCATACAGCAAAAAATATATTTCTATAATGGCCACTGATAAGTCACAGCAAATACCTTACTGGGTGTGCAAAACTGGTAATTCAAGAAAACCAGAAAAATAAATGTGCCAATTTATTGTGAAGAGTGCAAAATGTGCGACAGATGCAAATTTGGAAGCGATTAGCAGGTTGCCAAATTCAATTACCAACCTTCTCTATGTTTATACCTACTCTGGAAAGAGAATTAGAAGCTACTCTTGAAACTTTATTAGAAAAATTTATATTGCTTTCTTAGAACATTAACTCACATATGACTTCGCAAATGTATGTTTCCTAATTGAGGTCCGAAATAATGCTATGACACATGCACGCACACAAAAATAAAAAAAGCTGAGGGTTCAAAGGAATTAAACAAACGAACAGAAAAAAAAAACATTTTAAGACAAACCAGGAGATAAATACAGGATACTTACCAGCCACTTGGACGGCTTGCTTGGGTTCAAGGATGCCACTGTTGGGACGCACACAATAGCGCTTTGGTGCCGTTGTTTTTACTTTGAAGCAGATTCGCTTGTCTGTTGGGTTGGACAACTTTAGGTGAGAAGTAACCACATCATTGAAAGGGCCTGTGTGGTACATAAACATGAGGGAAATGACATTAGGTTATGTTTCACACAAACTTGACAGCAACTTTCAAAGCAAGATCCAGATAGCTAAGCACAATAAACTACGACACATTTTCAATACCAAACTTCTCATAGGTAATTAGAATCAAAATATTGCTGCCTGTTTTCAGTTATAAAAATGCACCTGCAAGAACTATAAATGCACTGTTATTACCTACAGACCTGAAAAAAGTACTTGTTTTATTTAATATTAGCTACAGACCTAGAAGAAGAATTTGTAATTTCATTTATACAATGTCCCTACTCTTATTCACTGGTTCACAGATGATTTTAACATTGTTTTAAGGTGTTCAAGCACTTGGAACAATAAATTTTGAGTGACGGCTGCATTTCCGATGGAGGCGGAAATGTTGTAGGCCCGTGTGCTCAGATTTGGGTGCACGTTAAAGAACCCCAGGTGGTCTAAATTTCTGGAGCCCTCCACTACGGCGTCTCTCATAATCATATAGTGGTTTTGGGACGTTAAACCCCACATATCAATCATCAATAAATTTTGAGTGAGAGTCCAGTCTCGAGTTAACAGAGTTACATGAAAAGTATGCAGACAACAATGCCAGGGAAAGTATAGGGGATGATATTAGAAGCAATTCCAATGTAAATGGATCAAAAAAAGGATATTACTTGCCACCGGAAGGATCCGAACCTGCGACCTTTGAATAACGCGTTCGATGCTGTACTACTGCTCTACGATGCTCTACCACTACCACTCACTGCTCTACCACACGTTATTTGAAAGTCGATAGCCCTGCGATAGCCACTCAAAATCTTAAGGAAATAGCATCCCACTTTTACGAAATACCGTAATACTACTCTAGTTTCTGTCATTGAGAGCACACTTTCGGAATCTGGGCACTGCATGTGGAAAGAAATGGAACAATAACAATACCTGGAGTTTTGCAACCAAAAATCGTTTTGCAGCAATATTACATAGTGAAGGGCTGTGAAAATTTAGAACATTTGGTGTTCTTTGCCGCGCACTGACGTTGTGCAGTACATGAGCCTCTACCATTTTGGCTCCATTGAAATGCGACTGCCATGGCCGGAATCGAAAGCAGAAACTTTTGAGCCAGCAGCTGAACCCTGTAACCGCTCACCACCACGACTAACAGGAAAAAATGTAACGATGGTGCAGCAGTATCAGCAAGTGAGCGATTGACGCACCAGGTACCATCTCTTACCTAAAATATGACATCACACCTACCATAAAACAAGTGACACATCTGCCTGCACAGTGCAGAGCGTACCACACCCAAATAAACATTTCTCACTATGCCACTGAATGCCATTGGTGGTGTGCTGCCAGAACCACCTAAAGAGCAGCACAACAGCGAGGTAAATAATAATAATTGATGGGTTTTACGTCCCAAGACCGCAATATGATAATGAAAGAGACGAGATTGAAAGACACGAGATCATAATAAGTACACGAGATTTGAGCATTTTCGCTGCAGACGTTTACTATACTAGTCGCTCCATGAGGCGATAACTGGAGTCAAGGTTTACATGCTCGCTCAATAGATGCAAAACTTTCATGAGTCGGCTAGATAAAATGCACTACGTGAAGAGATGAGCAGCTAACTTCAATAGTAATCTTCTAAGTGAGTGTGATTCTAAAGTGTGCATGGTGCAACTGCATGTGAAATACACCACCTCACGACCCCATCACCTGAATCAAAAGTTAGTGTCAGTATACTTCGTGACAACTTTTTTTTGACAGAACTGTGGAAGCAACAGAACCAAAGCGCAAGCCTATATCCGAGCCAAGAAATACAATTTAAATTTACTGATAATTTTCTTATTAGTCTGGCTGATAAACATTGCTTGATTTATTATGAGACTCAAACAGTTGCAGGAAGACATAGGTGAAATACATTTACTGTTCACTTTGAAAGGACGCCTTTCTCTCCATTTTTTTTTTTTTTTTTACCGCACCACTTTTTCAGCACGGCCATTTTCCAAAGTAAATATGGCATCCGCAACGTGAGAGGGTCAGTGTGCATCCACAAATGAGCTGTTTAATTCAAGAGAAATATACTCGTAATATGACACTAAAATGTATACTGAACCATCGGAATGTTTCTCCCATACCCATTCTTCATTGATATAATTTTCTAGATGCGTTAACGATTCAAGCAAGCAAAACCGAAATCAGCTGCAAGCTGAAGTACTACTTGTGGAGGAACACAAATATGCGGAAGCCCTGCCTTCGTAGCCTCAGCTCCAATGTCAAGATAAGTTGTCGCTGAGTATTGACTGCGAGATTAAGCAGAGTCGCCGCCTGGCCGCAACTGGCTGAAGTGGCGAAGTGTGGATTGCTCCGTGCGTCATCTGCTAGCCACGGCATGTTTCTACGTGCGCGTATATCATGCACGTTCTCAAAGTGTGGTTTGTCCGGTCATGTAAGCACAAGTCTGTTTCTATGTATGCCTGAAACGACGTACGAAAGCATTTGGTCTTGCTCGGCTGCTGATGCATTGTAATAAAATCGGCGAGTGCAGCTTTCCAGAGTGCTGTTTATTGTCATCGTACCCTCCATTCACCAGAATAATTTCAGAGTGGGTGCCTCTTTCTGTTTCAAGCACATCGCAAAATGCTCTAGGCATCCTCCCAAACGTGACCGCTAATAAATGGTGTGCGAAGGTAGTGTTCTATAGCGACTTGATTGTAAAAAAAAAAAAAAAAAACACAACAGGCTCTAGTCCGTGCATTTTTCCGTTGTTGGAAGGTGTACAACTAACAACTACGGTACTATAGTTTTATCAATCATGCGAAGAGCCTTAGTTGGGTTTATCTGGCCATGGTACCACTGCTTAGAAATATTACTATCGCATAAACTGTGACACATCGGTACTTAAACTGCATTTAAAACAGAGTTACTGTGCGCAACCGTGTGCTTAGATTTAAAGGGACACTAAAGTCAAATATTTACATCAGGGTGAAAGCTCAATGTATAACATCTAAAATGACAATATTATCAACAACAGTGCCCTACTTGCCAAGAAATTAAGGTAAATGCACAAGAACACAAGCACCGCAGTAGGACATTTTCAAAATGATCCCAATGACATCAGACGGACCGCCTACAATTAATTACTAGTAATCGATCTAACTGCACTAAATAAAGAACCTTCCGTGCATCAAGGGACACAATAGAATGCAGCTTGTTTGTTTCTGTTTGATTCATGGAAAAAAGAAGCGCCGGACGTTACTATGGGGAATGGCGCGAGTGGTTCGAAAATTCAACTTTCGTATGGTTACACAGCCATCTAGCTGGGCGTAGTTGAAACAAAGACGCCTGCAATCTCTAAGCCAATGGGCGGGAAATTGATCAATGGCCGTTGTTGCTGCTGTGGCTCCCACTGCTTTCGGTCTGCTGCTACTAGCGCAGTGAAGCTGGGCAACGTTGTGCACAGCAACAGTGATGCGAGACGGTTTGGTCGATCAGCTTCTTGAGGCGAGTAATTTGAAGTGCGCTAACCCCGATGCGGAGCAGTAAAACACGATTTTATTTCAAAATAGGCCCTTCCTTCGCACGAAAGTAACACTACGACGTTTCTGGACCGCCATTTCAACAATTAACATTGACTTAATAGTTGGCTTTAGTGTCCCTTTAAGAATGCTTTAAAAAGCCTAGTCGTTGAAAATCGATTCAAACGGCATGCCTTACATATAATGTCGTATAATTTTACTGAAAATTCTGTCTTTCTTACGTTGTCTTCAGCGATTGTGTGGCATTGTTAGTGACCAACGGAAGGCAGTGGTAATTTTTTGCCTGAAAAAAAAACATTGTCCTATTAACCCGACCTTTCGTTATAGCACTGTCATGCACGTAATTCATCGATGACAGCTTTCTGCTGAACTCATATATAAGATTTTATATTTTTACTGGGGTAAGAACATGTGCATACACGTGGTAAACGCAGTGTAGCTCAAAGCATTGTCAGCCACTAAGGTTTCCTGACGAGACTTATCGACTGCCCACATTTTGTGGCGACCAGAATGAGAGAGAAAAAAAAAATACGCATAAAAGGTGCGAACGATGGTACCGAACTAATCACACAGATGCGCACGCTTTTTACGATCTTTCTTTCTCTCTTTTTTTGTAGTATTCAGATGACAAATATGTAAATGAATAGTTCAGTTACGCTACAGCAGTGCGTAGCAGGCAGAACACAAGCTAACCACGTACAAACCACAGCAAAGACGTGATTTAGTGCGAAAGCCTGAAGAGAGTAACCCAGGGCGAGCATCCCTATGAAAGGCCAAATGCGCTTTACTCGCGGGTAATGTTAACCTTGCATATGAGTCGTGCACCGATTCAATAGAAAAGAGCGTAGATATTGTCACGTCGCTCCAGGGGGTGTCGACAAGGTTTATTGACGTCTGAGCAACAGGGCTTTGGTTATTGACGTCTGAGCAACAAAGCGGGGAGGGGGGGGGATGCGCACTTCTTTCTTCACTGTGGTGTGAGCCTTCACCTTGGCATACGACCCACTACTAGAAGTAGGGAGCAATATTAACAGTAAATTGCAGTAAACACATTTTATCCGCAGACAATCTGCTCAGACCGTACGCTATGAAGCCCCTGCTGCTTGTATACGTATACGTGCCGCCGCACGCCTATCCACACTTTCGCGGGACGGTGCTGCCACCTATAGCCCGATCTCGCCGCAAAGAGTCATGCCACTTGCCAGTAACCTCTCCTAGCAGACTTTTTAAACAGAAAAAAGGAGCATTTTCTAATCAACCAGAGCGTGGACCCTTCTACCTTGCGACTTCCCCCGCGAAAAGATCACGTCGTATAACAATATTACAGCTTATTACCGTGAGAACCACAAAACACATGCAGCCCTGCATGCAGACCTCTTAAGGAAACGGGCTACGATCTGGAGGCAAATCCAAACGGATTCTTTTCCCAGCCCTTATTGGCTGTCTAAAAT